AAGAAATAAAGTTGATGATGAAATCTAATGAACGAAACATCGCATCGCAAATTGGTTCATATCAAATTATAATGAATATGAAACATTATGATCGTTTCACTGCCTTTTTTTGTATCAAAAACGAAATTCGGCAATTCTAGTTTTGGCGAATATTTCAATAACAACCACTAATCGGAGAATGGATCATTATGTTCGCCAGAATACGAAACTTTTCTCAAATTTGAAGATAGTAATAGCGGGATCAGCTGAAAAACGACCTGTATATAAATGAGAACGCTTTATCTGAAGAAATAGACTTGTAGTTCCATCTCCCTTAAGGAGACCCCCCGAGTCGCGTTCCATAATCAAACTTCCGTCTGGCATGTTCTCCTACTATCCACCTGAAAATGCAAAGAGAGAAAAGTAAAGCAATTAGTATTGGAGTGGGGGTCAACTTTAATTCTTTCACGAAATCTAAAATTTGAAACCATTTGACTTTCAGTCATGGTTACGAAAGCATCACACCCTATTGAAACGAGCTGCAGACGCTCTTAATAACATGAAAATACGAATGGGTTCGAGAGTTTTCTTCAAATCAACGATTCCATCAAGAATATTGTTTGCTCTTCTACAGTTTCAAATCTCAAAACCTTATGTGAATTACCATCTGTTTGGCTTTGCCAAACTCTAAAAACCCGATGCGGTCCCCAGCGGGGCAGGCAAAGAGTATAATAATAATAATAATAAATGCTTTCATTGAAAGGTTACTCAGTACAAGGGATACTAATCTAACCTAACAAATGGCAGAATTCAACGTCTGCGCATGACGAATCAAGGCAGAAATTGCTCTTCCATCCAACCAGTAAGAGATAACTTATAATAATACACATTGTTTGCTTGATTAAAACTAGAAAGAAGAAAAAAAAAAAAGGAAAAAAGGGAGAGAAGCAGAAGAAAAGTAGAAAAGAGAGGCAATAAACGAATAAATGAAAATTATATGTTCTATGTGTGGAAAATCATGTTACAAATATGATGATAAATTTGATGATTTCTTCATATTTATTGTAAAAACATATGTATAGGTGTCAACTGATAACTGTTATAAAAGAAGAGAACCGGATTGTAGCATGAATCTCTTCAAATTTTTCTTGAAACTAAGTGGTGATAGGGATTTGAATTCAATGGGTAGCCGATTATATAAGTGTGCAATGTTATAAGAAAAAGATCCTCGAAAAAAAGAAGTTTTATGTTTAGGTGCAGTCAAGAGATGTTTAAATCTCAAATTTAGATTATGTACATCGGTTCTAAAGGACAGTTTCGTGAATAGGTAGGCAGGTTTCCCAGTGGATATGACCTTATGGAATAAACTAGCAGAATGTAGTGTGCGCCTAGCATCCATGTTCAGCCACCCGAGTTGTTTCAAGTATTGAGACACATGCTCACGTCTCCTTACGCCCGTGACGAGTCTTATGCACGAATTCTGCAGTTTTTGAAGTCTCTGCCTGTCAGATTTCAAGAGTCCTGGACCATAAACAGTATCAGCATAGTTTGCATGAGATAGTACCAGTGCGTCGCAGAGTAATATTTTATTTGTTTTGTTCAAAAGATTTTTATTCGAGTATACTAATTTTAGATTCATATAACCCTTCCTAAGAATCTGAGAAACATGCGTAGTGAAACGCAGAGAATTATCGAGATAAAGGCCTAAATTTTTCGTGACGTCACTTTTTGGTAATTGAACCCCATCGATGGAAATGTTAATCAACTCGGTGCAACGATTCTTTGCATTTGGCCTACCGAAGAGCATGACACAAGATTTATTTGGGTTTACAGAGAGACAATATTTACTTGATTCAGTTATCAGAGAGTGCAGATCATGACTCATTTGTCATGTTCTGCTGTTTCATCATTTTCCAAACAGAGGCAACAAACACTGTCTTCCGACAGTCCGAGTCTCTGCATATGGTGATTCAAATGGCAGTGACCTGTAAGAAGGCCTGTTAGACATCGTAGTTCATCCCTACTGTAGTCCAACAACTGTTTAGTATCAAGCATTAAAGCGTGGAGTGAGCCAATCCTGGAAGTTTGTGCCAGAAGTCCATAAATCTTCTTGCCATCCAGCTGTTCAATCTTTGTTTGGCAAAGCCTAAAGCGATGCCAATGACAGGTTCTGGTTTGATGAAGCTGCTTGCAGCACCCTAAAAATAAAAAAGCACCAGAGTCTAAGTGAGAGCCAGAAAACTGTTTGACTTCAGTATATAATAAAAAAGATTTATAACTTTTTAGAGTTTTCTTTAATTATCAATGATTTACAATCATATTTTGAAAAGGAAAACTATCACACACTCGTCCTTGGGCAACAAGGGATTACAGGTATGAATGTGGGGGGAATTATAGAAGGAACAACAGCAGCTGTTGACGCGGTCCCTAACAGATTAGTGCAGGTAGCAACTAGCTGGGGACGACATTGACGTGAAAAAATTGGAAGAATATTTTATTCAACATTCACCATTATCTGATGTCGCTGTCATTATGTCTATCGCAACTGGAATAACTGGGCAAGAGAACGTGAATTGCTACGCAGCTTTTGAGGAAGGGTTAAAAATAATTCAAATGGCAAACATTTTAAAGAAGTCAAGTTATCAAGAAAAGAAAAAATCATTCGTTCATTGGCTGCCATTAGCAAAATCAAAGTGGATGATGATATTTTTCCAATTGATCCACTACTCAGCGTATTTGTGTGATAATAAAACCAGATGAAGAACTACATGGCTTATTAATTAGCTCCTTACCCTTTTGCGCTTTTTGAAGATGATCTATTGACATAATATTCAAAAACACCACGCGTGTCAAAATAGGGCTGAAGAAGTTTTTAGCGAATGCCAATAATAAGGGTAGGGTCATAGATATGCTACAAGAAACACTCGTGTAGAAGCTGACGCCGACAGATTTATAAGTGAAGCCGCTATTAATCTGCCGTTCGAAAATATTGTTGTAGGGTCCGAAGATGCAGATGTCTTAGTTTTATTGGCTGAACTCTCACCAATAGACCGAGAACTTTATTTTCGAAAACCATCCAAAGGCAAAATGCTGCAAAAGTCTGCTCTTCCGAGAGCTTCGGAAGAGTATTATCAAAATGTCAACAGTATATTCCGTTCTGCATTCACTGGCTGTGACACGACGCCGGCTTTTTCCAGCTTGACAGAAACGTGTTTGCAAAAAATTTCGAGAAACGTCTGGACTTACAAAATGCTGCAACAGTTTTCAAAAATGAATGCAATGATATTTTTAAAGCCGGTGCTACATGCTTTATAAGGTGCGACTAGCTTGCTTGGAATGCAATGCCGACAGCTGTACTAATCCTTTACTTACCATCGACATCAATGAAATCGATGACGACGAGAGTAATGAACAATAATATTATAATGTATACAGTGTCACCGATAAAGTCCGCATCAAATGGGAAACTTTTTTATTTATCGTTTTATGTGAAATTTGATTTTGGCAGTAGATTTTGCTTAAGAAATGATGTCAAATGGCGTCTACAAAATAGGTCACGTGATTTCCTTAACCTGTCAAAATTGACATTTAAAAAAAGAAACA